TCTGTTTTTTAAGGTACAGCATACAACAAAGACCTGTGTTTTGGAGAAGGGGAATGCTGACACCAAGTTTTATTAAATGCATGCTATTTTAGATTGAAAAATGCTTATAATAGGGATTACACTTTACATTTTGCTACAGCACTTCTCCATCTGTTAAGAGGATTTGTGGGGCCTGCATTCTGTGATAGGTACTTTAGGAGAACCATGATTCATTGGTACTATAATGGGAAACGTCTGTCTTTTAATATAGACAAGCATTAGCAACCTAAACAGTTTACAACAGTAGCTCATTTGGATCATTACGGTGACCAGTTAGCGACAACCATAGTCAACAAGAAGTAATTTTACTAATATAGATAGACTCTGTCAAGAATAATTTTTTTGTGTCCAAAAGTTCTCTTAACTTGGTAATTAATGTTTAGAAATTACCAGTTTTATGGGTGTTTCTGACCCAATCTGCATTTGAAATGTATGAAAACAATCTATATAAACAGTAATTCAGATGATGCTGTTACAGATGAAAAGCTTGTACAACCATTATTCTGTTATATCTGCCCCTCCGTCCCCCGGCATATGATCTTTTTCATTATACCAAAAGTATTCTTTAGTCCCTGAGCATTTGACCAAAAAATAGAAATGCAAGAGCTGAGGAATATAGAAAGTAATCTTTTAGGGAGGTGGGGAAAAGGTCTCAGTTTGAGCACTGAAAATTCTGACATACAATAACTCCTCACTTAGCGTTGTAGTTATGATCCTGAAAAATGCTACTTTATGCGAAACGATGTTAAGCGAATCCAATTTCCCCATAAGAATTAATGTAAATGGGGGGGTTAGGTTCCAGGGAAATTTTTTTTGGCAGACAAAAGACATTATATACATATACAGTGTAAGTTTTAAACAATTTTAAACAAACAGTTTAATATTGTACACAGCAATGAATGATTGTGAAGCTTGGTTGAGGTGGTGGAGTCAGAGGGTGGAATATTTCCCAGGGAATGCCTTGCTGCTAAATGATGAACTAGCACTCGGCTGAGCCATCAAGGGTTAATACGCTGTTATTAATGTAGCCTCACACTCTACAAGGCAGCATGGACTGAGGTAGGAGGGAGGAAACATAATAGATGCAGGGCAGTAGCTGCAAATACTTCCCTGCGGAAACTGAACATGATGATGAGCCCAAGCTATCCAGCTGGAGCGCACCATTCCCTCCTCCTGACAGCACATGCACGGCTGCACAGGTGCTGACTTTCCAAAGTGCTGGGGGGTGCGTGCATGAGTGAGAGAGAGATGTGCATTTCCCCTTTAAGTACGCTGACCCCCGTTTAAGTTGCCCTTTTAAGCAGCTCAGCCAGTTCAGACAGGAAGCAACAGCTAGCTCCCTCCTTTCTGTTCCTGAGCCCTGTCCTCCTCCTCCCCTTTTTGGAGAGGGGGTACGGAGCGGGGGGGGGGGAGGAGCAGGGGGACTTCTTGATACCAGCATCCCTCTCCCCTCCTCCCCCAGCAAGCAGGAAGCTCCTGGGAGCAGTCCAAGGCAGAGGGCAGGGCAGGAGCAGCACGGCAGTGGGGGGAGGGCAACCTGAACTGCTGCTGGGCAGCTGTTGAGCCACATACCTTACAGGGAATTTAGGGGAGCTGATGGGGGAGGAGGGCTGCCGCCTCCCCCCCTCCCAGTTCTAATCCCCACAAGGAGGGGCTACTCTTAGGTCTGGTCTATACTACCCGCCTGAATCGGCGGGTAGAAATCGACCTCTCGGGGATCGATTTATCGCGTCCCGTCGGGACGCGACAATCGATCCCCGAATCGGCGCTCTAACTCCACCAGGGGAGGTGGTAGTAAGCGCCGCCGACAAAAAGCCGCAGAAGTCGATTTTGCCGCCGTCCTCACAACGGGGTAAGTCGGCTGTGATATGTCGAATTCAGCTACGCTATTCACGTAGCTGAATTTGCGTATCTTAAATCGACTCCCCCCTGTAGTGTAGATGTACCCTTACAGAGAATCCTGCAAGCAAGTGGATAAAGCAGGCAGCTGGCAAACGATGTTATAAGGGAGTATTGCACGATATTAAACAAACTTGTTCCCTAATACAGTAGATCAGCAACGTAACAACGTTAACCGGGACAGTTATATGAGGAGTTACTGTATCACCTTGAGGCCATGCATTATGGTCTTCATTTTGTACCTGACAAGTTTTAACTCTGTTGGTTAGTCATGCAGAGGAGTTCTTAGTAAAACACTCCTTTTCTGAAGCCTTTAGCAGTGTGTTCTGGTGCTGGGAAACAAAATAATTACTTTAGCAGTGTGTTCTGGTGCTGGGAAACAAAATAATTACTTAGTGTTAACATCAATTTACAAAAATAGTAACAGATGCTATATCTGCCCCCAATCCTGCCTTGCCAATTTTTGTGGCACATTTTCCTTTTTTTTTTTTCCCCTCTGCCCACTTGCTGTGTGAAAGACCCAGGGAATCAATGAAAACTGACAGTAGTGAAAAGCTTATACGAGACTATTGTTGTTTACAGCTTTTTATTCCTCGCATCCCAACAAGTAAAAGGGGCTACTAACCACATGCTCATTGAGTATATTTTATGTATCTTTTTAGTATGTAACACACGTTGTCACATCCAGTGAAGAGATATGTGACAAAATAGTGGGATGTATTACAGCACTTTCTGGTTTTGTGGTTTAAACTGACAAGTGGATACTAAAATGCATTTGCTAGGAAAGAATCTTATTAAACCTAGAATGAGCTAATTGACCGCCTGTGTTGCCGAGTAGAGCCTAATATAAGCATTTCTGATACTTTCCTAGCTAATGTGGACTGCTTTTTAAATAGTCTAAGGTAGTTTTTGAGTACTCCCTATGACAACATGAGATTTTAATCTTTTGATATAAGAATTAATTCCTGTCAAAACATGCAATAGAAATGTAATAACATTACCCATTTTCTGTGATATTGGACCTTAATAAGAAGTTGATTTTCTAAATTTATTTGGTCCTTCTTGGGGATAATAATTAATAATACTTCCCCATTTCACAGTGGTGTGTGAGGATAAGGACATTAAACTTTGAGATTTACTGATGAAAAGCACTATACAAGAGCTAGGTATTATTATTGTGTTTAAGTAGGAGCCATTACAGTGGAGTAGTGTGTTGGTTAAGTGGGTATTACCTGGAGGCAGTCAGTACCAGTACATTCCTAACTGCACTTACTGCTCAAAGAACTATTTTTTTTTTAATCCCAAAAGGTCTCTGGTCCTGGAGGAGTATTTGGAGAACTTCAGATGACTTTAATACAAGAAGAGGGTAGTTTATCTGAGATTTGTTCCCTGTTTGGAAAAATCTTAATTTAGCACATCTCAAATCCATCTGAGAATTAATGATAGAAAAATTTGTTACATTTTGAATTATTCACTTGGAAGGGTGAAGTAGATATTTACCCATACATTTAAAATTCTGGCTCCAAAGATTCCTCTCCTTCTGTCTCCTGGATGTATTATTTTAGTCCTATATTTATATTCTGAAAGCAATAGATTATTTGTTTTCTAAATACAGTAATTGTTGGTATTTACTAAGATTGTCCAGAGGAATCATTACTGTAAAGAACAATGAGAGAGAGAGAGAGAGAGAAAATATTTTCATAGCTTAGGTATGTAGGCTTCTGGCTAATGCTAGTTAGCTGTGTGTGTATATTATGTGTTTTATAACATTGTTCCAGGAACTGCATCCAAGAAAGCACTTCAGTATAACTCTTTTTTTACAAAATGGGTTGGAGTTATAGGGAGGGTCTTTTATGTACTAATTAACCAGATTTGCCATACACTCTAGGCACTTGAATTCTTTTTATCAGTTTAACCGTGTCTAAATAATTATCAATAGATGGGTGTTAATCATACACTAAAACATAGAATTTTCTAATTATGCATTTTACACCCACTCCCTGAAACGAGGAAGGATAATATCAAAACATCTTAAAACATTAATCCCATTCAGCTGACAGTCAGTTACTTCAGTGGTTTGAAAATAATAATTGTCAACTAGGCACATATTAAAATAATTGGACCATACTTGTGCATACTACGTCTCTAGGTGTCTTAGTATGGTGTGTGCATTATTAACTAGCGCACAGTATTCTAAAAGCAAAGTTGTCCTAGGAGGAACTTACTTCATGGGTTTGTTATTGAGAGTAATGGGTTGCCTTGGAATAGTACATGAATGGTATGAGGATAATAGCTGTCATAAGGTCCCAGATCTGAAGCCAATTATTTTTGTCCTTGCTGAATAGAATAGTAAGATTTTGATGTGGACAGATTGTCTCTTATGTAAAGTGTGGAAGATTTGGTTGAAGAGCTAAGTTACAGATCTTTCTGAGAAAATGGATCCATATTTGTTAGCCAAACCACATACACAGATTGCATGCTCAGCCCTAAGCAACTGTTAGTGTGCAGGTTTGGCAAACAAAATTCCATCTTTTAATTTCCAAAAGGGGATTGTTTGGAGACTAACATGTGCCATACTTGCAGTTTTCTAAGACCCCTAAAGTGGCCTTTCCCCTTTGCATTGTCCTGTTGGACAGAGGTTAGAAGACTAAAGTCCATAAGCGTAAAGTGGGGAGCGGACATCATGTGTTCAGCAGCAGAGCTGTGTTCTTTCTGTGCAGCAACCATGCAAAGTAAAGAGCCTAACAAACTCCACTTCTCTAGAAGCTTATTTTAATAAAACTTTTATTAAATCTTAAAAAACACAAAACCCTCCCCGAGTCCCCCGCTCTCTCAGTATTAGCAATCCGGCCTCTTCTCCCAGCTTTATGCTGTAGCCTCCCTCGGGTTTCTGTGCATGAGCGTTCCGGCCAGTCAGAGCTCTGTGCAGCCACGGTTGTTTCCAGGCGTTTCTCTGTTTGGTGCACCCGTAAACCCCTCCTCTCTATGAAGACGTGCAAGACTGAGTATCAGCTGTGGCTGCCCTGGCCACGTGGGGCTTGAGGGATGGGCTTAGGAAGTAAGCTGCGCTGGCAGATTCCAAAGTCTGCTCAGTGCTCACAGCTGATAACTTTGCAGGGGCAACACAAGGCCGTGAGAACCTGGGATCGTCGCACGGGAAGACAAGGCGAACAGTAAACAGGTAGGACAAGCAGGCTTGGCTTTCAGATTGCAGGGATGTGACATAAAGTCAACGGTATGGGTGTATGGTTTAAAGATTTGCATAAAATATTTACCACAGGGACTTGTGATCGCATGAATTTCTGTTGGTATGTTGTGTTTGTTATATTCAGAATAGGACGATAATGAGAAGATTAAACACTTCTGGGACTAATAACTTAGACACAAGCAAAGTCTTTGGTTTCCAGACTTCTTTTTTTTTTTAAGAAGAAAATTTAATTGCATTCTTTTGTATGAAGAATTCATGTATTCCTGCCTCTGCACTAGAAACTGTTTGGTGCATTCCTGAGCAGATATGTATTTGGAACAAGATTGCAATTTTGTTTAAAAGAGGTTTTGGGTGACTCCTAGAAAGCTGTATGAATCAGTGGATGCTGAAAGAGAAAACACTAAAAGCTTGTTAATAACCAGAGACACTGCTGAACTATTTCCATAATTGGATAGAAATGCAGGATGAAGAAAGTGTAGTTTTAACTGATGTAGGGGCTTTCATTGTACAAGTTGTAAGATGTACAGACTCTTTTCCCTGATCATTTTCAGTTTCACATCAACAGTCTTCTATACATATATTTAAAGACATTCTAGATTAAAAATACTAATTGCAAAGTTTTGAAACATAAAATGTGTAAAACAACTCAGTGGCTTTGTACCTATGATATACAACTGAGACAGTGGCAAATATATTCCATATACCATACTAAAGTGGCCTTAGTTTGCTGTAGCTTAAGCTAGGGAATTTTTGGCTAGGAACGTTTGTGAAGAGTGCCATTGGATCTTTAACAGCTACTTGGAGCAGAAAGAGCTTAAGCTACAGTGAACTAAGGCAACTTTGCTTTTGACTGAGAGCATGGGGGTAGGGGGTAATGTCCTTTAATTTATGTGCATTACCTTCTCAACTTTAGTAACTTTGGTTTAACTTTCCTAAGTGTCCCATGGAGACAAGCCCTTAAATACCAGCATAATTAATTGAGCCCTTCATTCTTTAGAATGTTAAAAACTGAGGCTCTTACTGCTACAAGAAGGTGTGAAAGATCCAGTGGCACTCATTGTGAATGTCCTTGACCAGAAATTCCCTACAACTCCACATTTTTGGTAAACTATTTGGGTCTTCACAGTCTGTAATATACCCATAATATTTGATGGGTTGTAGCTTGGTAGAGTAGAGATGAATTGAGTGACATTGAATTGAAAGTGACATGAATTGAGTGACTTGAATTGAAAGCTGTAGCATAGGCAGGCCTCCTATGCTACAGCTTTCAGCTCTGCCACTGGTCAGGGTGATGAACTATGGGTATGAAATGGCTGCCTCACTCCAGAGGTGGTTGCATTTCATTAGTACTGTGTGTGTGTGTAGTTTAGTTTTAAAATATTTTGAAAGATGCTATATATGGTGCTTGCAAAACGTTCTGGACATAGAGTACTAAATCAGTTAGTGTATGAAAGCTAGATGGTGTTGATGGGAGACAGGGAGATCCAGTTACACCCCTTTCAGTGCTTTGGCTGCTTTTTCCTAAAAGGTAGCAAAATTGACAGTGAATGCCAACCATGAAACTGACAAGTCTATTGTCAATTTTACTCTTCTAAAATATGTAAGTTGCAAAATGTTGTAACCTGTAATGGTTTTGCATTCAGTAGATGTGCAAAACCAGTGTAATTTTCACCGTCTCTTCAAGCTCACTATTATTTATACAAACTATAACACTGCAAAATTAACTTTTAAAAAAATCACACTATCTTCTGAAAAATTGTGACTGCTATTGTCACAATTGGTAGGTAAAATTACTGTAACTGGTTAGTAGGTGCATTTAACAGCACTTCATATATAACCAGTGTCATTGTTTTGTTGGTCAGTTATGCTTCCATCTTAAGCAGTAGCACCATTGCTCTTATGTAGTGCCTGGGGGATGGGCTCACATGCACAGTCTTTTCCAGGCTCTGCAAGAGGGAGTTTACCCTAGCAGCAGGAAGGATCATTCAAGAAAGGAAAGGGAAGAGAATCAACCATGTTAGTTTGTTCTTGGCTCACCCAAAAGGTGCTGCTTAATATTAGCAGGGGAGCAGAAAACTCTTCAAAAAGAAACTTAAAAAGAGAAGTCAGGACACATTTAGAGGAGGCTGCATCAGAATTTTTTTTTAAGTAGTTAAAAAAAAATAAAATTTAGCAGTGTCCTCTGAACTTTAAAATTAAAAGGAAATGATGTACTTAGGCTTCTCTTGGACTGAAAATCACTGTACCAAGAAGAAGGATTACAAAAGTTTTACAAATTGAACATGTAAATGAATTGAGTTAATATTAGAATTAAACATATAATATTCAAGCAAAAATAGAGACAAGGTAGGTTGGCCCTCTGCATCCTGAGTAATTTGGTGGAGACTTACGTACATTTAAAAAAAGGAATTAAAGTACTCTTCTAGTTCTAGCTTGAATATGATCATATGTTTCTCAAGAGGAGGAGATATTGGATGAAATTACTTCACAACTTGTGGTGTGATCTTTGATATTACATACAAAATATTGCTTCTACCCTTTTCCATGGGGAGAAAACCAAACACACCATACAACACCACTCTGGAGAATGCATATATTTGTGTTTGGGTTTTGTTCTGTTTGTTCGTCCTTTCATTCATGGTGGTTTCCTGCATTTTCATGTGATATTATTACAAAAGACTTATTTTTCACAGATTTAAAATATATTTACAGTGAAACTTACGTTCTGCAGTACTGACTGAAGTCCACAGAGGAACTGAAATTCTTGGGTAATAAGTGCCCACTTCCACTAGGCAAAAATGCTGTGATACAATTTCTGTAAACGTGGTACAGATCTTCATGCATTGCAGAATTCTAATAATGTTAACCTTCTGCCTTGCTTACAAAATGTTTATGTATAGAACTTTCTGCAGAAAGATTGTATCTTAGCTCTCTTCACTTGAGGATATGTTGAAACTGAGCAGCCTGTACACATGCAGTTTGTGGGTGACTTCTAGAAGTTTTGAGTCAGATTCACTGAAGAGTCTGAGGGCTAGTCTACACTGGCAACGCTAAAGCGCTGCCGCAACAGTGCTTTAACGTGGATTGTGTGGTCACAGCAGAGTGCTGGGAGAGAGCTCTCCCAGCGCTCTAAAAAACCCACCCCCACGAGGGGCGTAGCTACCAGTGCTGGGAGTGCGGCTCCCTGCACTGGTGCACTGTCTACACTAGTGCTTTACAGTGCTGAAACTTGCTGTGCTCAGGGGGGTGTTTTTTCACACCCCTGAGTGAGAAAGTTGCAGCACTGTAAATTGCCAGTGTAGACAAGCCCTGAGCTTGTGTAACATGACTCATTCAGACCTCTTGGTAATGAGACTTCGTTATACTTATATCATCTTATCAAAGAGAGTCTGATGGTGTAACTTACACATATTAGGAAATCTGAAAGAAAATGTATTGCTAGATTATTTTATAGTTTATCATTCTATTGTAAGAAAATTTGCATTGGTGTAAAGGTCTTGAGTTTCCTTATTTACATCTATGTAAGACCCTTTGTGTTTTGGGGGATAGGAAGAGGAAACTAGTCTTATTTTAAAAAAATGTGTATTGGAAGCAGTGTAGTTCAGTCTTTCAACCAAACAGAATTCTCACTGCGGTAACTGTTGTGAGTGGAGGCAGGGAATCATACCTTTCAGAGTAGTTCTGTGCCTCATTTAGGGTTTGTCCTGACTAGCAAAAAAGTAGGATGTAGTTGGGCTTAGCTAACATTTCCTATCTAAACTCAGCCTAGACTTGACCACTTTTCCTAATCAAGAGAAGGCCAGAGATACTGCACTCTTCTGATAGTCTTTTGAAGTGAATCTCACGTTTTATAGCACAGGTCTGAAGAATCTGTTAGCTCTTGTTCTAAATTAGGCCTCTCAGAGTACAGCATTTTCTAAAAATTCCCTAATGCTGCAAACATAGGTTCAGCTCTACCAGTGACAGAAAGTTTCCTCCTCCTATCCCCAGAAAAACAAAGGGTCTTACATAAAGACATAATGTGTGTCGCCCAGAACTGGACACATTATTCCAGCTGAAGCCTCATCAATGCCAAGTAGAGTGCACATTTACCTTCTATGTCTTACAAACAACACTCCTGTTAGTACACTCCAGAGTTACATTAGCCTTTTTTGCAACAGCATCATGTTGGCTTATATTTAAGGCTACGATTTGGTCACGAAAGTCACAAAATTTGTGATTTCCAGAGACCTCCGTGACTTCAGCCTGCAGCCGCTGGGAGCTGCAGGGTACCCCCACCTCCAGTGGTGGCCAAGAGTCCCCCGTCAGCTTCCTGGCCACCAAGAATCCTCCCATCAGCTCCACAACCGCCACGGGCGGCGAGGGGGGTCCCCCAGCAGCTCCCCAGTTCCCGTGGTTGCGGGGGACCCGTGCAGCTCCCTAGCTGCTGCAAGCGGCAGGGGATCCCAGCCACCACAGGTGGGAGTCCCTCCCAGCCACGGGGCAGAGGCTGCAGCTCCCAGCCACAGCAGGGCAGGGTGCTGGACCCTCCTCCCTCCCCCTTCTTGTCATGGACATTTTTAGTAAAAGTCAGGGACAGGTCACGGTTTCATGAATTTTTGTTAATTTCCCGTGACCTGTCCGTGACAAAATTCTAGCCTTACTCATATTTAATTTGTGATCCTCTATAACCCCCAGATCTTTTTCTTTTCTGCGTAGCCAGTCATTCCCTATTTTGTATCTGCATTTAATATTTCCTTCCTAAGTATAGTACTTTGCATTCATTGAATTTTGTCTTGTTCATTTCAGACTAATTCTCCAATTTGTCAAGGTCCTTCCAAATTCTGGTCTTCCAAAGTGCTTGTGAACCCTCTCACTTCGGTGTCATCTGTAAATTTTAAAAGCATACTCTCCACTCCATTATCTAAATTGTTAATGAAAGTATTGAATATTATCGGACCGAGGATAGACCCCTGCGGGTCCCCAATAGATAAGTCCTCCCAGTTTTAATTATTCCTTGAGTATGGTCTTTCAATTAGTTATGCACCCATCTTATAGTAATTCATCTAGACCACGTTTCTCTAGCTAGCTTACAAGAATATCATATGTGACTGTGTCAAAAGCCTTACTACAGTCAAGCTTTATCAAGTCTACAGCTTTGCCCGTACCTACTAGCCCAGTAACCCTGTCAAAGATGGAAATTAGGTTGGTTTGGCATGATTTGTTCTTGACAAATCCATGCTGGCTTTTTCTTATAACACTGTTATCCTCTAGTTGTTTACAAATTGATTATTTAATAATTTGTTTGAGTTCTTTCCAGGTATCGAAGTTAGGCTGATGGGTCTGTAAGCCCCCGGGTCCTCTTTGTTCCCCTTTTTAAAGGTAGTATATTTTCCCTTCTCCAGTCCTCTGAGACCTCTCCCATCCTCCATGTCTTCCTTAGCTAGAAAAAAGTTTAAAAGCATTGGAAAACAGAAATCTAATGAGGAAGTTTTCAGCATGTTGATATTCTTTTTATATTGTTAGTGTGGATAGATTACTATGCTGAAAAATTACCCAGAAGAATCGCAAGACCTTGATGTGACCTCCTCATTAATATTTTTCCAGACAACTTGCTTTCTGTAGCACATCAGATATTGCAAATTGCTGTGTACCAAAAGTAAACAGAGAAGACAACCAAGGCAAAGATTGGTATATTCAGACACACTGTCCACAGAGTTACTGGACATTACTTTCTTATACCAGCTTTTTTTAGTATTTGGTCTCGACCTTTAGAAAAATTATATTTCAAATGTGTTTTCAATAACAAATTAGTATTCCTGAGATAGCAGATGCAGATGACTATTCAGAATATGCCCTCCTCATTCTTATCCTTTCAGGGACTTTTGGAAATATTTAAGTTTCACTGTTGTTAAAACAAAATTTCCTTGTGGTTTAGGAACACTGTCAAGAATGAGCCCACCGCAGGATAGGAGTGGAAGCTCCTGCAGTAAGGAGCCCCTTGTAAAGTGCCTTCAAGCTAAGAAAGACTTGGAGACTGCTATTGCTGGAATTGTCAAGGCTGAACAACAAATTGAAGTCAACTGGAGAGAGGTATTTAAAATATACTTTTTAAAAGTCTAACGTTTTGCCAGTCTTTGACCACAGTTTTGATTGGTAGTTCTGCAAGTTACTTGGTCTTCTGAAACAATAAGCAATCTGTCCTAGAAGCACCATTATTAAGACTACAATTTAGTCATGGGTATTTTTAGTAAAAGTCATGGACAGGTCACAGGCAACGAACAAAAATTCATGGCCCGTGACCTGTTCATGCTATAAATACCCCTGACTAAATCTGGGGGGTGGGAGGGAGCCTTGGGAGGTGGCCAGCAGCACCCATTCCAGCCGCAAAGGCCCCTGCTCGGGCGGTCCCCAGGGCTTGCTGCGGGGCTGCCCAAGCGGCTGGTGTGGCTGGCCCTGGGGCCACCTGAGAAGCTGGCCCTGGAGCCAGCTGCTTGGGTGAGCCAGGGGTCAGCCACACTGTCTGCTGCAGAAGTGATGGAGGTCGTGGAAAGTCAGGTCGCAGAATGTCATGGAATCTATGACAGACATAGAGCCCTAACCATTATCTCACTGTTACTCAACTATAATCCTTACAAAACGTAAGCATTTGAGTATTGCTAACCTCACCAGGTAAAATAAAAAGTGCAGTTTCTCAACATCTCGCTAGCATATGTTTTGTGTTAGTCTCTGGGTTTTATTAATAGTTTCTTATTTGTAATGGGATTTTTTAGTGATTCACTATTTATGCTGCTGGAAATAACTTCTTTAAACTGAAAGATATAAAGGTGCTACAAATAATATGTAGTAGAACAGCTGTTTTAATAAACTGATACTCCTTTGTGTTTGGGTACTCCTTCAATGGGAATGGTCTTGGAACTTTGAAGTGGGGTAACTGGTAAGTATGTTGAGTAAAAGCCCACGTCTTTGATGAATAAACGTGCAATGACATAGATTTCAAAATGGTTTGTATTTGTAGATTAAATGTATTTTATGGGGTGAGAAGAAGGTGGTTGAAAGCTAATGTCTGTTTGTGTCACAATATATATTCTCCCCTTCTCCCCTATCCCCTCTGCTTCTGGTTGCCTGTGACACATGGTGGTGCCCAGATTCTGACAAGGGTCTCTGGGTGTTACTGTAGTATGCATAAATGACAAATATTACTATTTAATATTGTCTGTCTGTGGAATTGGGTAGCCACATTTGACTTTTGTGAAAGTTTGTTGTTAATCATTGAAACTGCATTTGTCCTAAAGAATACTCAGACTTGTGTACAACAGCATTAGCTTTCTTAACCCAGCGAGTTGTGTGTGAATTGTATGTTGTGATGTGTGAAGGTTGGTGACTTCGGTGTGTTCTGTGAACAAAGAAATTTCAGGTTATGGTTTGAGGTGATTACGTTTAGTACAAAAATATTAGTATTTAATTTCAGTGGGTGGGTTTCCTCTCTTTTTCTCTCTTCCCCCTCCTCCTCTTCCCCCCCCCCCCCCCCAAAAAAAAAACCAACAACCCACAACACATTGGGCATGTTCTGGTTTGAACTACTCAGCAGACATTCCAGAAATACTAAATGGAGCTGGTATTTATCTTGCAGGTCAAAGCTCAGATTCACAGCTGCATAAGTCGTCATATGGAATGTCTGCGCAGTCGTGAAGTTTGGCTGCTTGAACAGGTAGATCTCATTCAGCAGCTCAAAGAGGAGACCTTGCAACAGCAAACATACCAACTCTACTGGGTAAGATTTGTGTGTTTAACTCAATTTAGCTATATTGGCCCTTTCAAATACACTGGTCTTGCTAGTATGTATTCATGGTAAAGTACAAATCTTGAACAGGTATATCCTGTATCAAGTATAAGAGTATGAATTTGAACATGTGATGCCTTTACTGGAGCTAAGGCAATAATAATGTTTTATTTTTCATATAGTTGCTGGGACAGTTCAATTGTCTTATCCACCAACTGGAACACCCCCATAGTAATGACCTAGTCAATCAGATTTCTGTGTGCCTGGAGAGGTAAAAATATTACATAATCTGAATAAATGAGAGTGCTATTCATTTTGACTTTACATTGAATTTAAACTGTTTTCTGGTCATAATGTCTGTAGACCATCTCTTCTACATAGTTAGCTTTTATGACGTATGTATAATACTTTACTATGAGCTATTTTCGGTAATTGCTTAAAAAAAATTAATGGTGAGATTTTCAAAACAGTCTCGGATAGAAGACGAGTATGGCTAAATACCCAGGATTGCTTTGAAAATCTCTGTGTAAGATTTTTAAATTGAACCTTTAAAGAGAAGTCAGGATACCATCAGTTGTAATGCAAGCACAACTATGCAGAGGTTAAGGTTTGATGTCATTTGATTTGGGAGGAAGAGTAAGTGGGGAGAGGAGTTTGCTGTTTTGCTGGATATTTCACTTTTTTCTGTTTTTACTGCATAGAGCCTTGGATGGACATATCTTTTTATTTTTGTGTAAAAAGCTAAATAAATAAATCAAATTAGTTTACATTTTTGGCTGTTTGCAGCAGAACCAATTAAAAGCCTTTATACAAATATTGGCTCAGTTTTATAAGCTTAAAGCTAGCGAAGGGTTTAACTGAACTTATGGGTGAACTTTATTTTTTATTAAAGATCTCCTTAATTCTTTTAGACTAGGCAGTCTGACCCTCAAACCAGAAGAGCCTTCCAACCTGAACTTTGAGGCTGATACATCTTTCCTTCGCCAGGCCATCACGTCGTTTGGCTCAATTAAAACAATGGTGAGTACCAAGGCTTTTCTAGTAGGATCACTGTTGAAAGTACTTGATTCAGATATTTTTAAGGGGAGAGGGAGTCTGCAGATCCCTCATCATTTATTCAACTGGTTTCATTTTAAATCTTTAGTTGAAATATAAAACATACACAAATATTTTTACAGCTTTAGGCACATAATCTAATAATCATTGCATATTTCAACATTTTTTCAACTTCAGAAAGTGTAGAACTCCTTGATCAGATAAATTATGATCACATGGGAGGGATGTGATATTTATATACAGCAATAACAAAACCCAAGCTATGTCAAGAAGTCAGTTTCAAAAGTATCTCCTCAGCTACATTTGGAGTCAGTCTATATGTAAAGCTTTGTGCAGCAGCCTCCCTAAAGTATACCTGCATTTTATTAACATACAGGTATGTTTTTGGCAGAGGTTGATTGGAAGGTTAGGGTGACTGGTGGAGGGCGTCGGGTATGTGTTCTTGCTTTTTGTTGTAGCAGTTGGAATTTAATGTGGGGAATTTCTTTAGCGGATGCCAGTTGTAGGCAATATCGATGGAAAAAGTACATGCCCCAGCCTCTGGGAGCATTTACCTTTATAAAAGCAGAAATAATTCTGCTTAATTGCTCTCCACTGAAATTTGCCATAACATCTTTATTTTGAAGGCTTCTCTCCTCCTCTCCCTCTTTCCCCCCCCCCCCCCCCGTTCAGTAACCTTAAAGTTTCCATGGTATAAAAAGGAATTTACCAGTTGTAACTGTGCTTTTAATGCTGCTTCATTATAGTCTTAATGTTTACACATTTGTTTTTTTTAATTAAATGGAGTTGAGTTTTAAAAATGAGGAAAGTGATTATTGTTCATACTTTTTTTTTTTTTTAAATAGCAAATTCCTGAGACAGAAAATGCCTCCCCTTGGATGTCAGTGCAGAACTGCACGCTGGCCCAACATGAACAGGTAAAATGAATATTTGTCTTCTGAAAATAGGATTTGACTAAAGATAGTATAAGCATAATCTTGTTATCTCTCAGCTTTCCTAACTGGTAATTTTTATGGCAGTTAAGATATTGCAGTTTGAGTATCCAGTAATAATGTGGCAAGGTGTATTGCAGTTTGAGTATCCAGTAACAACGTGGCAATTGAGTATGCCTGTTGGGGAGGATGTTCTAGTTTCCTTTTGCCATCTTCCCTTACATGAGCTCCTTAAATATGAACTTGGGTTAATTTGTCCATGGGGGTGGAATGGGGTGGCTCCAGCTTGGCTCTTCTAGTCCAAATGCTAGAGGATAAATGGAGTCGAGTCCTAAGTGTGCCAGACAGGGATTTGCAACAGTTCAGCTGGGAGGCACCATGTTGGGTCCAGCACAAAGATGCAGCTATGTTCAAGGTATTTTTCATGTAGATTGACAGACTGTACAGTCAAAAGTGCTGCAGTGTTTACAGGACCCTGAACTACTGTGGGTCATACCGATTAATTTTACACATATAACTGTTTTCAATCTAGTTTCTAGATACACCTCTACCCCAATATAACGCTGTCCTTGGGAGCCAAAAAATATTACCGCGTTATAGGTGAAACCGCGTTATATCGAACTTGCTTTGATCCACTGGAGTGCGCAGCCCCACCCCCTGGAGCACTGCTTTACCGCGTTATATCCGAATTCGTGTTATATCGGGGTAGAGGTGTAATTAGAAACAATTGGAAAAGCAAACCACACAGCAGTAAGCTGGTTTTCTGCCACATAGATGACTATGAGGCTTTTGAGAAGATGGTGTGAGAAGGGACTTCTGTGGTTCTTCTTTTGGTTAATAAATATTGGTATACATTGGACACGCTGTACATTCTAAGATTCTCTGTAAATTGCCTCCACAATGAAATAGTTATTTTTATAACATGGAGACCCTACATTCTTTTTTAGAAGAAACTATTGTCTGGGACGTTGGGTTCCCCACTCAGTGACTGGCTACTTGGAAGCAAGTCTGCTAGCAATTGCCAGGCTCCATATGCTCCCAGCATCAACCCTGAGGACTGGCTTATGAAAAAGCATGTGCCAGAGACCAGCCAGGTATGCTCTTCACATACTAAATAAGATGTATTAAAGAGGAATGTGGTGGTATGCTGCAGTTGAAATTGGAAGGGTGGGGAGCACATCCATTATACTTTCCTTGCATCTCTGCCTTACCCTTGTTGCATCTTGCTTGATTCTCAAAATATTCTGAGCTGTCACTATACAAACAGTATTTTTTTTGTTTGTTAAGGATTTAAACTCTTCCAAAGTCTGTTATTTTGAGGAAGCCTGGGGAAATCTGAAAGATTTGGAAAACTGGCTTCTGCAGAATCAGCAAAGAGAAGAAACTTCTGAAAAAACAGATTCCCATAAGCACAAGAGCTCCTATTCCACCACCGGCTCCTTCTTTTCCACTGAAAAGATGGATCAATTGGAGTTCCTTGAGCAAGAAGAGATGGACATTTCTGACTGGCTGCTTACTCCTTCTGACCCAGAAAATGGAAGTAGTGCCTCAGAAGAGAAATGGAAATATGTGTTTAAACCTTTTAGGGAGGAATATAACATAAATGATTGGCTTCCCAAAGCTGACTCCTGCACTAACTGTCATGGCAGTCAGGCCAAGAGTGTAGAGATAGAAAACCTCGGAAATCTTAAGTGCCTGAATGAGCATCAGGATGTGAAGAAATCACCCACGGTATCTACCAATGTCTGGCTTCTACAGCACCCCCAGACTCCATTTAAAGTGGAAGATGTGTGCAAAGCTAATGAGCCATGCACTAGCTTTTCAGAGTGTGTGTGTGATGACAGCTGTGAAAAGGAAGCTCTGTGTAAGTGGCTCCTGAAGAAAGAGGGGAAGGATAAAAATGGCATGCCAGGAAACCAGATACCGGTGGTGAACCCTGAGCCTGAGAAGCCTAAATCTGCTGTCAACATCTGGCTTCATCCCTCCAGGCAGCTTCCAGAGGAGTCAGCTACTACCACAGTGAAATTGGATAGTTCAGTGAAGGTTGTAGAACCTCTAAAAGCATTGCTTGAGAGTCCATTGACAACCTGGCTAGCCAAATCAGTGCACAAAGCAGCAAGCACAGAAGGAAAGGCAAACCGGGAGAAAGCAGAAGTTAGCTTCAAGAGTCCTTTTCTAGACCTCCTGGCCCCATTCCACCTTCCTCTGAATGTCAACAGTTGGATGTTGGAAAATGTCAACCAGCCTCCAGTGGAAGATAAATGGCTTCTACGCAAGAAGGCACAAGTGAGCATAGTTTTTAATGTTTGTTCCTAGATAATGTGTTAAGACAGTATAATTACCAGTGTTACTTCTTGCCCTGTATTTACAGCAATCCTCAATGCTCAACCACTATTTTAAGAGTGCTGAAATAAAACAGATCTCAGTATTGAAATCCAACAAACTTTGTAAAGCAAATATAGCCAAGATTCATCTCATAAGAAATATTAGATGTAACTTTCTTTGATCTGACCCCTTTAAAAGATTGCTGACACACAGGAAAACTAACTTAGATGCATTTTGAATGTCCTTAATAATTATGTCCCCTTTTTCAGGACTATGGCCTACCTACAGTTTGTGAACTTTTTGCCTGTATGAAACTGAATGGAGATAGAGAAAAGTGGCTGTACCAGACTCCTTTACAGGTAAGATTAATCAATTACACAAATGCATTGCTAATAAACACAGTTGTGCATTCTATAATCCTTGAAGATATCTACCTTTAAATGTTAAAAGCAACATATGATTTCCTTTCTATATCTATCTTTAGCAGCTTAACCTATTCCCTCTTCTCCATTCGTACCCCTCCTGGTCCACCATTGTTCTTTCCCTCATCCTCTTCTGCCAGGGGAAGTTGAGGGAATCATTCCCACTGTTAAGTAAATTGATATTAAATATTGAATCTTTGTATGGTTTATGGTGAATTACAGAACAGAAACCTATCAGTACCAAGAAACTCAGCCTCAGAAGCAGTATCTTTATGTGAAGCATTTTCAACATCCCTTTTGTACGCGCTTCTCTCACAGAGTGTTACTTTTTTTTTTACCAACGAACAAAATAAAATAACTCTGCATTCTGAATTGTTTTGTTCTAGAAGTGAAGAACCTGAAGCATTAGAACCACGTCACCTTCCTGCTGATTGCCACACATACATACTATGTCATTGCAGTCTGCTGAATAATTGTGTTTGTGTCTGACTAGTCTGCTTTAGCTAAAAAACAAACTATAATTATAGGTAACTGAGTTATGGTGCAGAAAATGCCTTTGTGTTATAAATGACTCCTGAATATAGCAGGCCTGCTGAATATACGCACACTGACACAATAGGCATTTGTAAGATCGTATCTTTCATGGGCCTATGTGAAGTTTCTTTTATGGATTGTCACTTCAAGCATGTTGAAGCTCAGAGCAATTGTAAAATGAAATGTCTTTGCTGTGAAATCTGCATCTCTGGTGCTTGGACTGTACTATATAGTGTTGCAGTTTCCTTGCCCAAAAGGTTGCCCTTCAAATTCTAGAACTTTATCTTGAGAAGGATTCCATCTTTTTCAAGATAGCTTATTCCTTAGTTGGAAGCAAATGTTTGTTAACCTCTGAAGGAGGGCAGTTGTTGCTTGCATCCTATGTACAACTCAGCCCAAGGCTGTTAAACGTATTCTAGTTTTTGAAAGAAATGTACTGTTTTTGGCCCCCGACACATGATGAGAACTCTTAAATGTGTTTTTGAAGGAAGACCTTCCTGTCAAATTTTTCCTTTGAATGAGATCTTCAGCTAGTGAGAACTGAGACAGATTTGGCCCAGATCTTTTTAAATTGCTTTTGAACTGACAGTCTTTTCAGAGCTGTTAGTCTTTGTGAATCAATACACTCTGAAGCTAGTAGGTGCCCAGCATTTAATGAGGTAACAATTACAATTTTACTAAAACAATTTGGTGTACAAAAAAGTGGCTCAAAGATGTCTATTTTTAGACTAATTGGCAGTTAACTTATATTGTATAAACTGCTGGTAGTCCTGTTTCCTTGTCTAATTCATAGACCAATACAATTATAAAAGGAAACCTCTCAGAATGCTTAACAAAAATGGAACTTTGGATGCTTGAGAGCCTCCTAATAGGATGTAATCCTGTTCAATACGTTTTCCAGCTGGTGACCTGCATGGATCCCACCACCTTTTCAATCTGTTTTAGATAGTTAAGGTAACTATCACCTTGGTATCAGAGTTGGGAAGTGAGGTCAGATTAATTTTGATCACTGTAGCAGTGGACATAGCATGAATATACCTCCTTTAGTATACAACATTTTATTAAACCTTTATGAAACTGCATAAGTTGTCTGAAACCATTGGTGTACTAGGTGCAAATGGGCAGTAGGTTTTCTAGCTTGCATGAAGAATTAGCAAAGTTATTTAATATCTGCACAGTTAATTTCCCCTGTTCATTTTCATTAACTTTTTTCTGATGATTTTTAGATAACATTTTCTTAAAGTTTGTCTGGCGTAAAAATGGCCTCAGCTTTTCAGTGCAGAAAGAAAATCTTGTTCAAAGGACTGAAACTTAATACCACTTGCCTGGTGCTACACAGTATGAAAGTATTTGTGTGTACCACTATGTTCAGATAGCCTGTGAACTGATTTATAAAAAAATCTTGGCCCTTTGCACACTGAAAATAGACTCTATAAGGGCTTTAGATTAGCAGACCACTTAAGACCTTTTCTTTTAATAGTTTGAGCTGTCTACTGAAATCAGAAAGTGTTTTTTGAACTTCAGTTTTTACCGGACCATATTGCCTGTTGCTGCGTGGAAAGACTACACTATGACTAACTCCAATGATAGCCTATTTTGATTAGCAGTTGAATTTAATGATGTCTGATGTGCAACTCACCTTTATAATCCTTTTAACCTTAGTTAATGAGTGCTAACTTCATATTCAATTCATTATGCCCTTAAAACTTTCTGGGTGTGTATTCATTTGCTTTTCACAGAACCCCAATTTAGTTAATACTAATAAATATTTATGTAAAGTGTCGATTAGTCTTTTCCATTAAAAAATATTGCAGCCAAAAGTGGGTGTGGTGGTTTTTATTTCTTTGTGGAAAGCTGTATTTGGGGAATTTTATAAACTTTGTTCAGCTTTCTGTAATTTAGAATTATTTCACTGTTCCCTACAGGCTCCACCCTCATCATTTGAGGCTCTAAACACAAACATTTCAGATTTGCATATTGTCCTTTGACTGATATGGGGCTATCTAGTAGGCTACGTGGGTGCTCTTTAATACAGAAGCTACTTAGAAGAGGCACAGCAAGAGCAACAAATACCTCCTCAAGAGTACTACTGGAAGGTCCTTTCTGGTGCTGTAAGGGGGGGGAGGGTCTGTTCTAGGGCCCTTGCAGAGGGGAAGATGGAGCGAAGGATGGCCATAAGCAGAGCAACTGGCCACTTCAAGATCTTTTATTTCATGCAGGCATTATAACTTGTTGGCTGGTCCTGGCTGCCTCTTGAACAGCATGGTTGGCATGGGGGAGAGGACAACACCTCACTACCAGACCTCTTCCCCTGTCTGACAGTGGAAAAAAAACAGAGAAAGCAATTCATGGTCTGGCTATTTCTCATCACTTCCCAAATTCTGGCACTTGGGCAGGGCAAAGCTTAAGGCCAGCTTTAGGTAGAAGCTTCTTTAATGCCTGCTCATCCTTTTTTTTTTTTTTTTTTTTTCCCCCCCCCCCCCCCCCATCCTTTACAAATGCATTTCAGAGGGTGCTCACCTCCCTGCTACTTTGCTACTTTATCAGTTGTTTATAAAGATGGCTATCTACTGGCCACCCACTCTAATCAGCACGCGGCAAGTAAGCCATCTTTCATATAAGATGCAGCTCAGGTTCATGGAACTCATAGACTTTAAGGTCAGAAGGGACCATTATGGTCATCTAGTCTGACCCCCTGCATGATGCAGGCCACAAAAGCTGACCCACCCAATTTCCCTTATCTCAGCTGTTGAAGTCTCCAGATCGTGATTTAAAGACTTCAAGTCGCAGAGAATCCTCCAGCTTGCGACCCCTGCCCCATGCTGCGGAGGAAGGCGAAAAACCTCCAGGGCCTCTGCCAATCTACCCTGGAGGAAAATTCCTTCCCGACCCCAAATATGGCGATCAGTAGAACTCCGAGCATACAGGCAAGATTCTCCAGCCGGACCCACATTTTACCAGCGATGGCACGTTATTGCCTAATTGACTAAAATCATGTTATCCCATCAGACCATTCCCTCCATAAACTTATCTAGCCTAATCTTGAAGCCAGAGAGGTCTTTTGCCCCCACCGTTTCCCTCGGAAGGCTGTTCCAAAATTTCACCCCTCTGACGGTTAGAAACCGTCATCTAATTTCAAGCCTAAACTTCCCCACGGCCAGTTTATATCCATTCGTTCTCGTGTCCACATTAGTACTGAGCTGAAATAATTCCTCTCCCTCCCTGGTATTTATCCCTTTGATATATTTAAAGAGAGCAATCATATCCCCCCTCAGCCTTCTTTTGGTTAGGCTAAACAAACCAAGCTCCTCGAGTCTCCTTTCATAGGAAAGGTTTTCCACTCCTCAGATCATCCTAGCGGCCCTTCTCTGTACCCGTTCCAGTTTGAGTTCATCCTTTTTTAAACATAGGAGACCAGAACTGCACACAGTACTCCAAATGAGGTCTCACCAGCGCCTTGTATAATGGAAGCAGCACCTCCTTGTCCCTACTAGAAATACCTCGCCTAATGCATCCCAAGATCACATTAGCTTTTTTCACATTGCCGGCTCATAGTCATCCTGCGATCAACCAGGACTCCGAGGTCCTTCTCCTCCTCCGTCACTTCCAACCGATGCGTCCCCAGCTTATAACTAAAATTCTTGTTAGTCATCCCTAAATGCATCACCTTACACTTCTCACTATTAAATCTCATCCTATTACTCCAATTTACAAGGTCATCCAAGTCTCCCTGCAGAATATCCCGATCCTTCTCCGAATTGGCAATACCTCCCAACTTTGTGTCATCCGCAAACTTTATCAGCCCACTCCTACATTCGGTTCCGAGGTCAGTAATAAATAGATTGAATAAAATCGGACCCAAAACCGAACCTTGAGGAACCCCACTGGTGACCTCCCTCCAACCTGACAGTTCACCTTTCAGTACTACCCGCTGCAGTCTCCCCTTTAACCAGTTCTTTATCCACCTCTGGATTTTCATATCGATCCCCATCTTTTCCAATTTAACCAATAATTCCTCATGCGGTACAGTATCAAACGCTTTACTAAAATCGAGGTATATTAGATCCACTGCATTTCCTTTATCTCAGAACTCAGAACACTGCAAGGTTACTGAGGCTTTGTCTACATTGCATTTACTCCAATGACTAGAATTCTGTGGTGAAAAGCCCTAGTGTAGACAGGGTAAATGCTATAAGCTGCAACTTTCACTGGTATAGTCAGCCCTGCTTGTCTGATATTGGCAAATCTGCAGTATAGACAAGACCTTTGAAATCCATTAGTTTAAAAGACGTAGCTGAGGGATGCCTCTTGTGTTTATAGGTTAAACCTTCCTTGGGGATGAGTAAAAATGCAAGCCACTGGGGAGTTTTCTGCATTTTGCTTATTAAGCTGTCTAGAAATTGCATGTGTATTGGTGTACTAAACCCCACTTCTGTAAAGTCACTGTACAAATCTTTTAAACTTCCCTGCAGAATAGATTGAAGTGAGAATTCCCTTCTCTTTGACTAGAGAAACTGTGAAGCACAGTCCAATCTTTTGCAATGACCTGGCCTTTGAAAAGGGGTATCATTCTGCACTTCCTCACATTTTAGTGCAGGGAGAAGCTGGGCTGACAGTTACAAGTGCCCAGAGGCTAGGAGTGTTAGCACCTTCACTGCTTTCATGTACATACCCCTATGGTTCAGAAAAGCACTCTGCCTCCACCAGGAACCATGGGGCTGGAAATTCCAAATGTAATCTGCTGAAGTAAATGTTCTTAAACTGATTAGAGTACGGAGAGCTGGCTGCTCATGGGATGGCAGCTCTGCACATTCTCAGTTATGATGGAGAGTAAAAGTAGACAGCATGATTAGCTTCTTTCAAAAGGACAAAACAGCTTTGACAAAGAGAAGATAAATAAGGATTGCCATGACCACCTTCTACAGAGCAGGTCTCATCTGCTTTTAAACCCCTGAGCCTGCCATCTGATTCTAGGCCTTTTCCCTTTCACTCTAACCAAGCTTTTGTTTTCCCCCACCTGCCTTTCCACTTACCAGCCATCTCCCACCTTTCTTTAATCATGTGAGCAGTTTAAAACCATTGCCTTGAATTATTCAGCTTGAGCTGCTATAAAACCACTTGCTCTCCACTACTCTCCTTGTCAAGTCTCAGGGCCTGTATTTTATACGAAGCCTTCACCTTTCCAGTATGTTTAATTAATTAAACTCCCAAGCCTACTTTGCTTTAGTGGGGACACCACTTCAAGGTAGTTTGAGACTTTTTGCAGAGGGATAGATCAGTGGTTTGAGAATAGGTCTGCTAAACCCAGCATTCTGAGTTCAATCCTTAAGGGGGCCATTTAGGGATATTGGGCAAAAATCTGTCAGGGATGTTCCTTGGTCCTGCTGTGAAGGCAGGGGACTGGACTGGATGACCTTTCAAGGTCCCTTCCAGCTCTATGAGATAGGTATATCTCCAAATTATTTACAGTCAATCTAGCCTTTAATTATGGCCTTAAGGCATTAGTGAATTTGAACATCATATAGGCTAGTAACTAATTTTGCATCTAATGAATTACAGGTGACCTGCAAAGGAGACAAGAGGCCTTGTCTTAATTTTTTGAGGGAAGAGGATTCCAATTAACTGGATAGAGAGTAGGGTATCACAAATCAAGCAGCTGAAATCTAATTGAGGGGAACTATTTTCACCTGCTTTCAAAACTTTTTTTTCAGCTATCAAACTTGCATGCCCCTCTGCTGCTGGAGGAGTCCAGCTGTTTGTTAAAGCCTCACAACCTGTTCTGTTGCAGTTAAGATCTGTGAGCTTACATTTCAGTCCTGAAAAAATCTCTAGCAAAATGTGAAACTTTACATTCCTGATATTTTTCAAGCAAACACTCCCAAAATTTCAAATTTCCTTTATACACCATCACAAAGGAGCAATTAGGGAGAAGCAGCAGCAGCTACTCTTCCTTTTCACTCTACTCTGTACTTATCAAGAAGGAAAAACACAAAATCTAGTTTTAAGTAGCTCCAGTAGCAG